TTGTTAATTACTCAAGGCCACAGAGATAAGGGACCTGAGAATTCCTATCCTTAGGACACTCACATTCTAATGGGAGGGTCAGCTATACAAACAAAGCGATTATACTATAACCGTGCTGTGACGCGTGCATATACAAGTTCAATGGGAGTAGGAAGGCAGGAGTAATTTTCTCCACAGTATTCAGAGGAGACTTACGGAACAAAGGGACCATAAGTTAAATTTTGAAATGTGAAGGATGGATTGCAGGACATTCTAGGAATGGAGAGCCTGTTGCAAAATGCCAGGGCACCAGTGTGCTTAGTGGAACTACCAGTGGGGCAGAGCAGCTGGGGCATATGCCTGGGGGAATTGGAAGCAAAGAGGCCAGAATGACAGGTGGGGGTGTGCGTGTCACCATTTGTAAAGACCCCGTGAGCCATTCTAAGGATTCCGAGAGTGTGAGTGCACCAGGAAGGAGATCAAGGTAAACCTGTGTCTTGGCTCTGTCTGGCACAATGTGAGAGATGATTTAGAGGGGAGCCCATCTTGGGGCATGGGACAAAGTTAGGAGATGGTGGACATGATCCCACTAATGAGACGGGAGCCTCCCATCTGTGGCTGTGCTGGGAAGCCGGGGGATGGAGGGGATTTAATCAGAGCACTGGGACAGAGACAAAGAAGGCCCTTTCAGCTTGGCAGATCCTTTTTCACTGCAATGCTAAGCTCAAGCAATGTCTGAGAGCCTGGAGAGGGAGGTGGGGTGAGCAGTGGCTGCTGGTTAACGTAGAAGGGAGAATTACAAACATCACGTTGTGGGTGGGGTAGGGGTGAGATATTTCTTTAGCTATTTGAAAACTGAAACAAAAACTTGGCCTGTGGTGAATCCCCTCCATATGTTTCAGTGTGTACCCAGGTAGACTAGGAGGTCTGTCCGGGAAACGTGAGGGGTTAACATGGGGTTGATGGAGAAGACGTCAAGGGAGGGTCCAGGCCACCCTGATCAGTGACTCAGAGAATCACCGTTTCTCTTGGCAGAAATGTGTGATAAGCACCAATTCCAGCTCTACTCCAATGAGCCGTGTGACCTGGGCACATCCTAGACCATCCTCAGTTTCCTAGACTATAAAGAGACGGAAAGGGTGAAATATGCTGCACGGGCTTGCTGGTTTTAAATACTACCATTGTAGGTGCGAACAGGTAGACGGGCGGGCTTAGTGAGAAAAAGTGCAGGCCCCGTGGTCAGACTACTTGAAACTCAGTCCTTCCACTCACAAGCTGTGGAAGACTGTGAGACTGTGGACAATTA